ATATATATATATATATATATATATATATATATATAGCACCGGAGTTGCAAAAAATTGTGCGGTCTATAACATAGGATTGTCTATTTATTAGCTATGCATATCACACCTGTTTATGCTGCTAATAATTATTTATTTCGTTATTTAGGTCGTCACGCTTGGCATAAAATTGCAGTACTGAAGTTAAGAAAGCAGTTATGTATATACCTGCCTTTTATACTTTTTTTAACCTGAAAATTTTCTAGTTTTTCAAGTGACTGCTTAGTGTGTTTTAATTCACTCAATTCCAAAGGTTTCATCAGCTGTTTATTTTACATATACAATTTAATTTTACCGCTATATATGACATCTTTTGTTTCCGTATAATTTATACGGTATCAAAATGCAAGGGTTGTGCTTTAAAACTCAACAGCGAACAGCTGATGTTCAAATAAAAAGTCGGTTTTCAGAAATATCATCAATAGAAGTGAAATCGAGTGGTTGGTACAAACGTTAAACGACCGATACACAAGTCATGATTGTAATTTTGCCAAATTCGCAAGTCATTTGCTGGAAATTTTAAGTAACAATAGGAGTCAACTAAGTGACAAATGGAATTTCAAGAACGAATGGTCAATTAATAGTAGCAGTTTCGATTTAATAGAACTGCTAAAAGTTACATATTCTTGCCCGTATGGGCTGAAGAAGATGGTTAATTTTTATCTTAAAAATGTCAGTAATGATGAATATGAAAACTACTTGCTTCCACAAATTTACAAGAAAAAAAGAATGTTTGTGTTTTTCTTGAAAACAAGTAATAATTCTCTTGCAACCGTGCTGAATGATGATACAGTGCGCAAGGACGAGTGTTCGCGGACTTTTTGGGGTAAGTCCGTTTTCATCATTCGCTCTACTTCAATTTTTGTGGCACGATTTTACAGATTCCATGTTCATTAAGTGCAAGTGTTTCTTCTGTTAGTGAAATGTAAGTTGCTCCTTGTCGAAATTATTAGAATATGCATTAAGGAGGCATTCATGTGGATTCGTTTGACCTTCGCAGTTCTTCAATAAAGTATACATTGTTTATGCAGAATACAAAAGTATTTTGGGATTTATCTTCGAATACATGGCCTTTTCATAAGCTTGAAAGTGGATATTCTTATCTAGGTTTTCTGAACACAAAAAGCTTATGGTCATCCGGCATGCTGTCATTACAGTTCGCTATTGAAGATACTTTTATACAAGTAAACATCTCTTTCAGATTCTTTTGAGTTTTTTGAGGGTAATAATTGGATTTCCAGGTGCAGAACTGAAGTTTTTAATGCTATTTTCAAAAGTTTTAAGCCGCTTAATTTGAGATAAACTTAAAAAAATTCTTTTGATTTACCAAATTAATTGGCTCATCAACTTCATTTTATAGAAGGTTCATAAACAATTGGCAGCCAACTTTGCATTCATAGATTCATCACTTATCAGTTCGATTATGGTTGACATTGAACAGTCATCGGTTTTTATCGCAGAAGATGAAGCACTGGTTGAAATATTGAGAGTATTTGGATACATTTGGCCGTGCTTTGCTATTTTACCTATTCTTCATACAGTAGTTGTTATCTGTGATGAAAAAGATAGTGGAATGATGGTATGTACTGCGCTTCAGGTTTATTATAAAAATTTTATTAATTCAACATTTTAGTCAAATCAAGCAGTTGCTGTTGGTAATTTGTGTACTAATATGGTTTAAAAGCGACATTTTTTTGAACTATAAATTCATAGTTTATGGGCATCACTATGAGCAGTCGTAATTAAGGTTGAGGTCATTATTTTTTACACTTTTCCAAATACAAACTGGTTTGTAATTATTAGAGTAAATTTTGTGGTGTAAAATTAGCACTCCAAACCTGCTTAATCATACAATAAGTTTGCGGTGAATGATTTGCAGAACATCTTTTCCAAGAATGATCTCAACCTTATTTGGGGCTTTAGGATTTCAAGTTTGGTCGTTGGATTCAAACGAGTCCGCAAACCAAAATAATTTTCGTTTTTTGGTTATTTTGTGGTGAAATACGGTTATAGAAGCTTTAAAGCGAAATGCTGCGTAGTTAAAAAGCTGTTCTTAACCTAGAAACTCTTCCTGATTTTACAGCTAAAAATAACGGATTTTTAGACAAGCGAAATTTGGTTCCTTTTAAGTGAATAAGAAAATGCGGAGTATCAGCAAATCCAGGGAAAAAAAATTTATACTGTGCTGAAATGTTCAGAATATTTAATTATAGTAGTGTTTCCAACTGACAGTTGCGAGGTTTCTGAGAACTGAGAACCTCTGGTCTTACCTGTAACACGACGCAGTAGTCAGAGTTTTCTAGACGACTGAGTTAGACTCGATTTGTTTTTTGTTAACAAGACTTATGTTCTTTTTTGGCATTTTTTTCGTTGAGGCTTCACTCAAAAAAATTGATCTAACTAACAACTTTATCTTATCGGATTCTAGCTGTATTATAAGATTAATTTCAGCTTATGAAAGTCAATTTTTAAACTGGCTTTTGAAACTGGCAATTGATTTCAAATAAAATAAAGCTCTTTTTTTATTCGTTTCTAGTTAAATTTTTCATTTGAGTTACGGAAAGTTGGCAAAGTACTTACCAAAATGAGCATAAAGTAAGTGTTGGAGTTGGCATAAATTTAGCTTAAAACAAAATTTATCTGATACATTTGCCTTTTTGTAAATTTTCTTATAATTCTTTCAAGATCTGATTTCAAGATCGATATTTCTAATATCTTTTGATTACACTATTTTGCAATGTAGCAACTGCATTTTGAAGTCGGTTCAGGAGCAGAAAAAGATTCTTCTGTTTCAGGCACATCTAATTAGAGTCGGAATGAAACCTTCCGTGTACTACTTTTCAAGTGGTTTCATGTTGTTCTGTAAACTAGCTGTTGTTTTTGGTGTCACTATATTTAGTTGGTTTCCATTTATCAAGGTTTGTTTCACTTTTATCATGACCGAAGAGTTAAGTGTCAGCTTGGTTACACAGAGGATAATCAAATTTGGGAGGAGTCTTCAGTATTATTTTATGGGAGCCAAATTATAATTTTTTTCTATTTAGTGTGAATTTTCTAGAATCAAAATTTCTGTTGGCAGTTTGGAACCTGTTGCCACTAAGAAGAATTTTGCTGTTATGTTAGAATATTTTGCTGGAAAGTGAGGCACTGTCTTATTTGTGGTAACGATAAGACAGAATTTGCTAGTAAAGCCTTTTTAAAGCGAATTGTTGTGAAAAATACAGATGCTGTTCCACGAGCGATTGGGTAAAAGCATGTCAGTAAGCAGGCGAAAAGTGTTTGCCAGACGGTCATTTGATACATGAAAGATGTGAAAATTTTGCAGCTGCGTACCTAATTTATAAGCGGTAAACACCACAACTGTCACTAATTTAAATATTTTTTTAACTTATTTTTTAAGCAGTTTATGCTTGAGTATTAGAAATTGCTAGTGAAAAACAAGCTCAGCAATCTGATCTTAAATGTGAATTATCAGGGCTAAGTAAGGATTAATTTTTTTACGAGGGACATTGTACTAAAAAGTGATTTACTTGTCCAGTTTTTGGTTGGTTGCAGTGGCTGGATAAAATAGAGGCGGATTTTGCTAGGTTTATTTTTTACTTAAAAAAAATACCGAGTAAATTTAACAAAGTTAGACAAATTCAAATTAAACTTAAACACAACCACAGCCTTCAATTCAAATATTAGTTTTTAAAAAATTTTTTGAAGTTTATTTTGATGCACATTGCAACGGTTTACAGCTATATCTCACGCATGTATTTGAGCGAATTTGTGCATGAGATTACGTGTACAATTTCTACGGTTTTTTTCTATTCATTCTCAGATTTCATCCGGTAGTTCCCTTTACTTTAATTTTTTTCTTCTAGATGTTTACTTTTTGGCTTTCCTATTGGTGCATTTGATGAATAGTGCATCAAAATGCATGTAAAATCAAAAAATGTCATCTGCAAGTCTAGTTTATTTTTTGTAATCTTAATTCCTGTGGAAAAAATTGTTTGAGTTAATTACAGTATAAAAATGGAAATAATATTTATCTTTGATGTGTAAGACCGAAATATAGATAAAACATGGATGATTTGAAGCTGAGTGTGAAAATAAATTTGTTCTTTTGACAAACTGCGGTAATCTAATTATCTGAGTTTTTTTTGAAATCTTCATTTGTCACTCTTCTGGTTAACTTTTTGACAGAAGACTTCGAGACACGGAGTGTAACATTTGCTGTTATCTGTTGATTATTTAGGTTCTTCAATTCAAGTTGTTGTTTTTGGCTGTACTGCTATACATTCTTTGTATTATACTTTATTCTCAACTAATTACTTCGATCACTAATAATTCATGGCTTGCCGCTAAAATTGCGTTGGTTGCTTGGTTTCTATTATTCTTTAGTAAGTTAAGATGTCAGTGCTGTACCTCTTGCGGTTTCCTGAGCTTTTTGAGAACTTCAGTTATTTTCTAGTTCCATGGAATACGAGACCTAAAGCTGGTATTGTTACAACTCGATGGAATTTAAGTGTATTCTTCAACATTAACTTTGTTCTGGCTTTTACAATAGACCTTTTTCGGTTCCAAATTAAACAGGGTTACTTTAAATATTCTGCTTCTCTTTTTTTGTACTTTTCAAATTTTTTATTTTAAAAATTCTTTTTATTTTTCAATATTTTTTTTTGAAATATTTTGCAGAGCACAGTCCGGACTACTCAGACGCATTTCGCAGTGATAGTTTTCTCACTTTATATAAATTCTCAGTCACAATGTTTATTGTCGATGCCTTATTGATGCTCTTAATCAGAAGCTATTTAGATGGTGATATTTGTGTTAAGAGAATTCTCGAAAAGTTGTCTAAACTATGTCGGGTACAATAATTTAACAGTGTATAAAAGTTGTTTTTATAGTTAGATGGTTATTAATTTAAGATTCATTTTTTCCAGTTATGCCATGAAAATTCGGATACTAATGGCGTTGAGGCAGGATATAAAGGAGGAAACGAGAACACTCGGTTGTACGATGAGGCTGTTTCACCAACTGACAGCGTGGAAGCTGAATCTTTGATCAAGAAATACCGTTCTTTCTATGCAATAAATTTGAATTATTTTCGTGCCTGTTCCGGGGAGGTCTGTTTCAACTGTGAAAGTTTCAGTTCAGAATTTTATCTAACTACCTCACTTATTACGCTGCTAAAACCGTTGACAGGAATGTTATGCCCTTGTTTCAATAAATGTTTTAATTGTGAACGAAAAATTTTTTTAGATCACAGTGTTTGTCGGTTCTGAAGGAGCTGGCAAAACGACTTTTTGCTCTATGTTGAGCGGAAATCTGAGGCCGTCTTCTGGAAAAATAAAAATTTTCGGCCAAGAAATGAATTCTTCCACTGTGGCTGAGTGTCAAAAGAAGATTTTATTTTGCTCGCAGTTTTGTCCTTATTTTCGTTCAATGACAGTTCAAGAACAAATTAGATTTTTTTTACGCTTGGAAAGAACTAATGGTTCTATGGTAGACAGTGTGTTAAGCAAGTTGGGGCTTTCCGGTGTAGTCTTGAAGGCAATGTTTGAAAAAAATTTTCAAAGCTGATAATATAAATATTTCAATTTATTTTAGCGGAGAATGTTATCTTTCAGAAAACAAGACTTTTGAGTTATGGCTTAAAGAAGAAACTTTATTTGGCGATGGTGTATTTAAGTAATCGTAAACTCGTTTTATTGGATGAGCTCACTGAAGGAGTTGATCAATTTGATAAAGTCACAATCTATCAGTTCTTGAAAGAACTAAAACAGAACAGGTTTCATGTTTTGCTGTGCTTTTCTTAAAAAAACATCGCTTGGTCTTAACGGTTTATTTTATTTACAACAAAATTATTTTTATTTAAGAAACTGAATGGATAAGAAAAACCGATGTTTAGCGGTTTTGAATGGCTTCAAGGATTACAGTAAGACAAACTGTTTTTTTGCTGGTTGATGACGTTTTTGCACAGCTTCTTTTTACTTTTTCAGTACGCAACAAAAATTTTTTATATGCAGAAGGCGGTGGATATAAAAAGAGTTTCAAGATTTTAACATCTATTCAGGACTAAAAGTAGCTGTATATTCTCAGAACTCAGACGTTTTTTCTAGGCAAAACCCTAACTTTTTTGTCGCCTTGAGTCAGTTTTTTTTAAAGAACATTATGCGTTTCGAAAATCAACAAATTTCCAACTTCTAGTAGAATTTTCAAACACTGTTACTTTTAAAACTGAGATCTGTTATGGAATATCTTGTTTAATATTGGTTTCTAATATTTCTTATTATCAGATTTTACAAATTCTGGTTTTTTTGCGGCGATTTGTGGTCTTTTTATTTTTCTAGAAATTTAATTTGATGCACTCAGTCTAAGTCTCAAGCAGTCTTCTTTAAATAAGACTGCTGTATTGTTCAAAGCTGGCACTGAGCAAGATTTATCGATCCGACATCATCCAAACCAACGATTTAGACAGTCTTAGGGAGTGCTATTAACATCTTATTTTGTTTTTAGGCAATCTCATCTGGTCTATTACAAGATTTTTTTTGGAATCTTGCATTACCACTCTGCTCTTATCTCATTCGTAGAGCATTGTTGTGAAAGAAGCAAATAGTTTTGAGATTTTTAAAGTCATCTAACATTAAGATGTCATATAATCGATAATCAATCCTTGTAACCCCTTAGTTTTTTTTTTAAAAATTTATCTTCTTGAGCAAACTCATTAGTTGTATTTTCCGAGTTAAATTCAATTACAAACTAGTTGAATAAGAATTGTATATTGAGTTCCAAAAATTTTAAGTATTCCTATAGCAGTAAGAATAGTTATTTTAGCTTTTTTTTTGAAACAGTTAGAGTATTTTATGAAAATGTGTTTGGTACTAATAATTCTTATATTTTGACATAGTTTTGATGAACCGAATTTTTCAACCAGTTAAGGATTACGGAATTTTAAAGCTTTCAGATTTTTACAAGTTTTTAAAACAGCAAAGCATTTTCTTGAATATTTCCCGTTTAGAAAATTTCAAAATTATTTTTGCAGTTAAAAACAATAACCTGTTACTTTTCAACCATATTATGAAGTGAATCTTAGCTATACAAAAAAAAGTATTTATTTTTAGTTTTTGTGCTTTAAAACAGCGAACAGCAAAATACAAAGACTCTGCTCTTTTTACCGTATTTTTTGTCTTGAAAAATAACTGCTGAAACAATTGGTTGTAATAAATTTACTAAATTTTTACGTAGGAAAGAGATTGAAAAAATCTTTCATCGTAACATTTTTGGATGATAAGTTAGATTTCAAAGATTTAGTTAAGGATGGCTAAAATAACAGAAACTTTTTTTTTTGTTTGCATTTCATCAATCTAATAAGAATTTTTAAAACTTTGTATACCCTTAATAAAAGTTTTTGTTATCAGGGTTGTTGTGCTAACAACAAAAAGTGCAGATGAAGCGAATGCTGTTGGCGACAGAATTGTAATGTTGGTTGGTGGACGAATTCACTGTTCTGGAACTGTACAGTTTCTCAAGGATCGATACGAGAAAAAATTCTTGATGGAAGTGGTTTTAAAGGTTACTTACCAGGAAAACTGAAGTTTTTTGAGGCAAAAACTCTCTTCTAATACATGCATTATTCATTGATTTACTGCGGCTTTTGTATAAATTATTTCAAAAACTTTTTTTTTTACAAAAGTGGAATAGTTTACCAAAATAAAGCATTATCTTAAGACCCAACGGGCTCTGGTTTAGCCTGGTGTTTCCATCAGGCTGATTGGCTGTAGATATAATATGGAACCACCGGCCTAAAAGAGTTCCACCCAACAAAGGTTTATTCAACTGGTATCGCTGGACAGTTGAATATGTTCGAAAGTTTTTATAAAATTAGATTTTTTTTAGCCCTCAGTTGATGGTATATATCTGGAAACAGCAATGACAAAAATAATAAAGGATTTTATTCCTAACGTGGAAGTTGAAACTGTTTCTTTGGATTTCGTCAGATATGTCCTTCCGGCTTTCGATAGACCAAAGTAATTTACAATGTATTTTTGTCAGTTATTTTAATTCCAAATATCACTGTAAAAGTTTAACTAAGTCTGGTCATTTTTTTTTGCACTTATATACCGTTATTTTGAGGATTCCTTTATTGCTTTCGCAACTGGAGTCAGAATTTGTGCCGTACTGCATAGAGACGTTTCATATTATGGCTACTTCATTTAAACAATTTTATACAAAGTTAGATTTTTTTAATACTTATTCTTGTAACTGATATGAATCAGGTAATTTAATGTTGTGATTACAGAGGTACTAAACTACTGGCTGGTGATGAAGTTAATGGTAAAAATATTCATGCTTTGGAAGAAATGGTGCAACAACTTCAAACTAATACAATATGTTTGTTTTTGCCGTCAAAGTTTTGTTTCTTTAACTACTAATTGTATCAGCAATAATAGACGAATAATACACAAGAATCTGTTTTAAAATATCTTTTAGTTAATGTTATTTCAGATTCCAAAGGTATTATTTTATCGCTCCGTCAACTCAAAATTCTTCTTCAAAAACAAGTGTTATGCTATTGGAGAAATCGCTTATTTCTTATACATCAAATAATCTTACCTCTTTTACTAATGCTTAATGCTTTTATGGTTTTGAACACCGGCTTTGAAATGAAACATAATCAGATTGAAAAATTCAGGAAAACAGGTTTGTTTTCTCATATATATCTTTGAATTGTTTTTTGAATTTTATTTTTTTATTTTTATTTTTTGGCATATCAATTGTTTTTCTAAAGATTTGTTTCGGAATAAACTAATCACTGAAAACGATTTATAAACAGCTTTTTTTATTATCAAAAAACAGTAGCATTTATTATTTGAATCTTGTTTCAGAAGTGTTTATTAATCCACAAACGTTATTATCTGCTTTTGGTCTGTACAACACGAGGAGAAACACCATCTTGACAGACAGTAGTAAAACAATCTTATCACATAAAATAAGTGCACATGACGATGAAGGTAGTGGTACTAAGCCGGCTTCCTCTACCAGTCTGTTTGGCGCATACAACGTCACCAATTTAAGAATCAGTAGTAGTGAGAACTTAACACGAGGCATTAATAGATATAGAAGTAAAAGAAGTGATAAAATGTTAATTTTTGAATAATTTTTAATTTTAATTCTATGCACGCAAAGCTACCGATCGAAGAAGTAAAACTTTATCTCAACGTGAGAATAAATATATCAGTGAAAGAAGTGATTCAACTTGAGCTTTTATATAATAAAAGGTACTAATTTAAGAAATTGTAATGATACGATTTCACCACGAAGGACTAATAAATATCCATATAATGCAGGCAAAATCACTACTTTATCACAAGACATTGGGTTTGACGATCAAAAAAGTAGTACGACGGTGGCTCCTTCTGTCGTCCCGTTCAGTACAGATGATTTTACTGGTCTGGAGAATAGGAGTAATGCTTCTTTGTCAGAAGAAACCAGTAAATATAATGATGAAAAGGATGGTATCAAAGAATCATTGCTCTGTACAGTCAAGGTAATACAGATTTTTAAAACTATTTTTAACTTACTGTTTTTATCAGTTTTCAACAGTTTTATCTAGCGCTTTTTTGTTCTGAATTTTTCAGACTTTTCGATCAAACGCTGGTTTTTTAAAATGTATTGGCAAAACTTCTCAGGTTAACATTTTAACTGCTGAAATGCAAGTTGAAATGGAACATGTGTCTATGTATTCCATAAATACAATTAATAATTTACGACTTGCAAATTCTTCAAAAGGTAGCTTTTAATTTTTGTATTTATAATGGTTAAAAACCAGCCTTTCATTTTTTTTTCTAATTTCATTCAAAGGACTTTTTTTTCTTATCACTTTAAGAAATTATCGTGACATTCCTAATCTGAATTGTGGCCATCTTAAATTTATAGCCAAAGATAGCAGTTTTAGATATAAAAGTATAGCATGCAGAGAAGATATAGTAATTTATTTATTTCTTACAGAGTCATGATTAAATATTCTTCAGCAGGTTTGAGCTGTCACGTATAAGTTAAAACTGATACATTTCTTACCAAATGTCCTGATTTTTTGTCAGTTTTCTGGCGGCATGAAAATGTTTTTAAAAAAACTAAGAATTTTGTACAAGTAATATTTTTGTTTTATTAGGTGCTTTATCAAATTATCGACTTTGAATATTGATGAAATAAACTGGCAGACTTTGTTGAAGGTCTTAATTTGAACACACACTTTTTGCGTTTCTGATAAAAACGTTTGAGGTCAGGAAATTACTTAACTGCTGTATCCGCTTATTAACCTTGATTAACTTTTGCTTCTGAGTTTTTTTAAAACTTTTTGGTTTAGAATATATAAGTTTTTTAAACGTTTACTTGGTATTCATGGGGAAAAGGAAGAGAGAGTTAGTGCTGCTGGTAGCCACAGAACCAACACGGTCTTTTGAGAATTTACGGTAAAAGTACCGATTTTACTACTATGACTCGTGGGCTACATGAACAGAAGCATTTTATTAGAAATGGGCATTCTCTGGGTAGACTATCTTGATTTGACTGTTGAAAATCAGAGGCAGATTCTTAGACTAATTTAGAAAAAGGCAGTCTTAGTGTAGCTTTAGAACCTGAAGCTTTATGCTAAAATAATCAGTCACCATCTGCGTGCGACAGTGGATATAGAGAAACTGTAATAACAAACACTGCGTGAATTCACGGAATTACAGTTGCTGATATGTGTCTAGCACCACAAGGCTCTGCTTTAACAACTTCAAACAGATACTTTTGTGAACAGGATCGTTGCTTGTACTGAAAAAAGATGAGGTGTGATGATCGGAAAAGAGGTAGACAGGGGCTAGACGTTGGTGACCGCTTTACCAAACAGCAAAGCCAGAATTTCACTAGTCTAAAATAATAATCACAATTAGATAGGATACTCGTGGATTTAATTTTTACAGACCTCTCACTGTTTATTAATTACTTAAAAATTTTGAGTCATTCACTTGTAGAGAATACCTGTATAATTTAGAACATTTCATAACTTTCAAATTTTTAGTTTGTTAGGTTGCTGAAAAAAAACAGAGCTAGTACTGAGGTCGCAGATTTGTAGCAATTTTTGACTTTTTTCCTCTTCATTTTATGAGTCGTTAAAGACAAAATTCAAAGGGTCTTTACCAACTGATTTATTAAAAGCTTTCGAATCTAGCATTTCTTTGATGCAGTACTACTCTGGAAATTTTAGCTAGTATCTTGGGTTCTCTTCATGTATACGGTAAAGGTCCGTTAAAGGGTCGGGCTTCTTCACCTGAAGACTATCTTACAGATTATAATCTAAATTCAGTTATTTTCAAAATTTACAACTCTGCATTTGCATTCATCTTTACGGGTTTCTTTATGCAGGTCGTTCAAGAAAGGGCTTGTGATTTTGAGTTGCAGGTAATATATTTGTACCTAATTATAACAAGCTTAGTTACTGAGATTTGATGTTTTAGAAAAAGTTATAATTATAAGAATAGCAAATGAAAAGAACTTTAATGCGAAAAATAGAGACTTTAAGAAAATTTTATTTAACTTCTGCTTTTTTCATTATTGACTGTCTCAGTTTCAGTTGCTTTTGACGGGTATTCATCCGCTTTTGTATTGGATTTCCATCTATGTCAGTAATTTCTTTCTATTTGCTTTTACATGGGCAACAGGTTTCAGTTTGGCTTTAATTTATAGTTGGGAACATTTTTTTGGATATGAGTAAGTTTACTAACATCGTCTTTATTGTTCCTTATTAGAGAATTTCTTATTTAATTATTGCAGCATGCAACTACTTTAGATCTTCAGGTTATTTTATTTTGAAGGTTTAGGCATAAATCGCTGTTGATTTTTTGAAATATTCAGACTTTTCAAATTTTCTGCGTGTCAGTATTGTATCTTTGATATACTGGTAAAAATCATTGTTTCTTTAAAAGTAATTGTTACTAAGAAGAGTAAGGGTAAGAAAATAGGAATATAAACTTATTGTTGAATTGTTTCTCCGTGTACAGTCAATTAACTTACTCGTGTAAAACTGATGAAACTGATGTCTGAAGGTAAGAAACCGAAACTTAATGATGCTGTTTAGGCTTTTAACTGTGTGGTTCTTCCACTTTTGCTCTGTCATGGCGTTGATGTGTTGTTTGTCTCGTTTGTTTTCTTTTACATTTAAAGCTTATTTTTTCATTTTACTCTACCTATTGATCGCCCCATATACGTATACACTTGTGGCACTCACCTGTACTCAGAATAAAGTTTATATGGTAGAATTATCAAATTTATTATTCATTTCTTTTAACACTGAATAAAACTTTTCAAAAATTTTTTATCAATTTTCACACCTGCTCAGTAGTTCTTGATTTAGTATTTTTTTGGAATTGGTCATCCTTCGTTTGCTCTCGCTGTTTATATGGGTTATGGGACGAATATGGTAAGCATTTTATGAATGTTTATAACAATTCACGGGTAAAGCCTTTTAAGAAACTTATTTATCTTACTTTTCGCTTATATTTGTCAGTAGAAGAGCAGTAAAAACTGCTTCTTTTTAAATTTCTTAAATTATTTTGAAGGTCTAAAATTAATTGAAGTTTTTTGAGCAGAAAAAAATTTTTAAGTTTTAAGAAAACAAATATGACTTGTTTTTGAAAGAAACAAAGGAAGTTTCGAATTACTTACAGTACTTGCAAACGAATATGAAAAGTACATAAAATCAGAGATCAAATTTTTTAAACAATTTAGACATTTGAATGGACACTTTCGGTTTTACTTACCGTCATCGTCTTCTATAATTTCGTTCTTTACTTTCTAATTCGACGACCCTTTACTGTTTTGTCGAAGTTCCGGAAGTATGCAGAACAGAAATCAGAAGTATTCTAGCTTAATATGTTTTTTTTTCTTTTGAATTGCTCTTGGCTCAGCACTTGCTTGCAAATCTTCTGAACATTCTTATTTTTTGTTGTCAATTATGATAGTTTATCCAATTTTTCAGTCGCATATAGAGAGCGATGACATATTGGATGAACGAAATCGTGTTTATTTGACATCACAATATATTTTAGCCATTCGAATTGAAGATATGAAAAAATATTCTGGGTTTTCATTAGTCATAAAAAATCTTTCTTTTGGTGTTAATAAACAGGAGTGTTTTGGTCTATTAGGTAATTGTTTAGTGTAGTTTAAAATAGAATATTTTAGTCGAATTTTGCACATTGATGTTCCACAACCAGTATAAAGACAAGTGAAATTTGCTTAGTAACCAAATACTGTATATATTTCCAAAAGGTGTTTTTTAGGGGGAAAAGATGCTGGTAAATCTATTCTTTGTGATGTGCTAACGGGTCATACATCTTATGATGCTGGATTGGTCACAATAAATGGTTTTGAAGTTGGGCAGAGACAAGTAGTTTTTCAATTTGATTTTGTCAACTTCTTTCTGTTTCGTCTACAATTTAAAAACTTTTGAAATAGTCTCTTTAAAGCTTTGTTTTTAAGGCCATTGGTTACTGTCCTCAAACCAATGGACTTTTGGGTTACCTGACAATAGAAGAAACAGTAAGATTTATGACTGAACTTAGAGGTTATGAAAATTCTGAAGAAAGGGCTAGTCTTGTACTTGACATTATAGACCTGAAAGAGCTTGCCAACAAGGAAGTTGGTACTTTAAAGTAGGATACTTTTGCATCATATATCTTTTGTCAATCTTTAACAGTTGCTAATACATTCTCAGGTTTGAAGAAAACTTTTCTCTAGGAAATGCCAGCGTCAGCTTCTTAAAATTGCCCTCGCTGTAATAACGCAAACTCGAGTTATTCTCTTAGATGAACCAACAGCACTTCTTGACTCAGTTACACGGCCAAAAATATGGGAAATTCTGAAATTGTTTAAAAAGCACAATTATGCTCTGTTGGTTATGTCGCGTGATATGGAGGAATGCAAGGAAGTATGCGATCGAGTGGGTTTGCTCCTTGACGGTGAAATGACAGCCATCGGAAAACCCCAACATCTTATAGACCGGTAAGAGAAACTATGGAGAGTAAAGTTGATGAAAACACTGTTTACTATTTTGGGTGGGAATTTTATGTGCTAGAAAGGCTTTCGAAAGAAATTTAAGGCTGCTCTAACAGGTATTGAATATCGCTGCTACTAACAATTTACCATGTGGACTGTAATGTAATTGTTACGTTCCAAGCCATTAAATAAAATGATAAAGAGGAAGAAAGAGTTTTACATCACCCCGTAGTGGAACACGTTTTATAGCTGTCTAGAGGTAATCCCTAAAGTAAGTGAGTAGTGAGACTTGGTCGGGAAGAACCCAGACGTGTTAGCTGCAGAGCCAGAAACGTGTTTGGCAGTTTTTATGCGACAGCTGAGAGCTGTATTGCTAAAGTAGATGTGAAAAACTACATAAAACTATTCCATAAAAATTCACCGAGATCAAAGATAACATTTTTTTTTATCTTCTGAAAGTCAACCCTATCGTCTAGTTAAAATGAATCTTCTTTTTAACGTTTTTTTCGCTTTTAGTAAACAACTAGTTCTTTGTAGCTACTGTAACGGAGCTGAGGTTTGAGGAAATTTGAGCAAACTGTTTCAGTTCAATTGTCCAAGTTTTTGCGCAGTAAGAAAGTGACATCCAGAACAAACTGCCACTTTTTTCCAGGTCGACGTCAGGATACAAATTAACTTTCATAGTAAATGGCGAAAACGCTAGAGTGAACTTTGCTTCAAAAGTGAACTTAAAATTTCCCAATTCAATTCAAGTAACGACTGCTGAGCCCGAACGTATGGTATGGTACATCCCTAAGGATAGTCAGAACAAGTAAATTTTTAATCAGTTGTAGATTTTTAATATGACTCTGGTATCTTTATCAAGATGCGTCTCAGATTTTTAAAATTTGAAGAAACTTTCTTTTCAAATCATCACGCGCGTCATTTCAGTTGGCCGAGGATGTTCAAAGATGCGGAAGAATTGTTGACCGCCGAACAAATAGCAGCTGATTACACTATAACTGAACTTTACGCTAAAGAATTCAGTGTAGAATGAACCATCGTTTATGAAAAGTTTGCTAAGACAATTTTTTCAAGTTAAGACTGGTAAGGAGACTTCGCAAAAAAAAATAAAAAAATTAGCGTGATAGCTGAAAACATACAGTGAATTTTGACTGACATGCTACAGATATAAAAACTGCATTTAACAGTCTGCTTTACACCGTCTTAAGAGGCAAAGAGTTGACATGTTCTATACCAATTGGTGATAACTTAACAAGCAATGGATTTTGTCTAAATTGTAAAACCATCTATTGAAAGAGAAATTCTACATGTTTTACGAGCTGATAGGAAAGTACTAATGAAGACTGACCAGATCCTTCTCGAATAAATATGTTTAACAAATGAATTGCGAAAAAACTCTGCAGTGGAATTTTCCTACATTTCTTGCTTCTCCTACACAGCGTACTAAGATATGTTCCAGCCACTGGTCATAAACTCGTGACTTTTTTGATGGCTCGGTGATAGTCAGTCTCTTTTGCACTTGTTTTTCTGAACGACAGTTGATGAATGGAAATTTGTTTTGGCAAATTCACAAAACGTTCTGGAGTGCTCTCTCTGGATGTCTAGAAATCCCAAATTACTGTTCTGTGCAAAAATTAGCTTTTAAAGGTTTATTGCTTCTTAACTCTTGACTTACAATCAGAAATACTGTGCTGGAAAAAACTTCTCCATAATTTTAAGATCAATAACAACAATATAGAAATAAAGCAAATACGGAACAGCATTGTAATTCAGACTTGCTCTTCTTTAATAAGATAACAAGTGTATACAAGTGTATACAGATTAGATAAGCTTCACAAATCAAGAAAGCCAAAAAATAGCTTAACGCTGGTTGTACGGCTAGAAATTACAACAGTCTGATTATGTCTCACAATTCCAGACCAAAAAAATTTTGTAATGAAGAAAACGGGAATTTTTGGAATTACAATTTCCTCAGTAATTATCTAGCAGTTATGTCAACAACTTTAGTCGTCTAGTCAACAATTTTACAGATACTAAAGGTGTTAAAGAATTTTAATTAGGACGCCTGGAGCATTGCCGAGAAAGGTTTCTGTACTTGAGGTTTATAAGAAACTTTGCCACAAATTTTTGCTGACACATTTTTAGTTTCTACCATTCTGGCGGGTAAAGTATTACTAGCTTAATTTTTCAATTTTGCCAAAAACTACTCTAGCTATATTTGCAATTATCAACTCTTTAGATACATTAAGAATCACACAATATCAGAAAAGTTATGAGTGCTTCTTCACCACCTTTTGTAGATTTCAGGATCTCTGTTAGATCTCTCCACATTGCAAAGCTATGCAAAGAGAGGACAAGGTAAAACGCTAACCCAAAACAACCTGTGCGGAGTAAGCTCAGTGGCATTAAACAAAACAATTAGAGAAGGTAAATAAAAAAGTAGATGAAAATTAAATAGACTGATAAAATAAAAGCAATTATTTGTTGTAAAAAGATAAGTAGAAAAAATGGATAAAAAAGCATTAAAATCTTTTGAGTTACTTCAAAATTTGTAAGCAAAAACTTGCATATCAGAGACCAAACTGCAGTGTTTGTTTGTTGTCTTTTTTTCTTTTTATTATTTGCCGATGAAGTATAATCACTGAAAGTGGGTAATAGTTCAGAAGAACTAATTCTGGTGTATTCTGCAAAAATAAATAAAAAGAATTTGAAATATCAAAAAAATTTTTTTTTTGGACATTTTTTATCATATTGAATTTTTAAGCATATTTTTTGTTAGCTTTTTTTAGTGCAAAGTTTAAGATTCTCCAAAAATTTTTTCGCAGTTTTTGGCCATTGTTATTTTACAAACAAATTCATCCAAATAACACCTTTATAACTATCAAAATTTTATTTTTTTCAAACATTTTTAACTACATTTTTATAGAATAATAAAAAAGTTTTTAATCGTCCTTTTTTTTTTTGCAGTTATCTGATTTTTCACTTAAAAATGGTTAATTCTTTTGTTTTTTCTGTTGCCAAAAGTATTTCATACCGAGACTGCTGTTGTTGAACAGTTTTTCTAGTATGAAATTTATCGATAACTTTGAAGAAAATTTTTTAGCACGAAATTATTTATACGACGATATTTATTCATTTACAAGTAGAATTTAAGAATAAAGTTTTATATCGGCAGCGCAAGTTGGTTATATCAAATTTGGTCTGCCAAAAAAAAAATATTTTTCTGAGCAGCAGAAACTGTGATAAGTAATAGTTCCTCTGCCTTCTATTGTAATATTGAAAGAATGCTACAAAAATAAACTTAAAAATTTTCTTGACGCTAAAAACCTGTGAATTTTTCTTCTTTTGTTTGCTTACAACACTTCATCAATTGTTGCTTAGATATTATTGTGAACCTTGAATAATGATGATGACGACGATACATTCCATAGCATTCCTCATCTCTTAAACACTTATCTGTTGTGCATAATCAGGCGTAGAATATGGTTAAGCGCTGAACTGTGAACAAGAAGGTTGATTTGCAGAAACGATTGACCTACAGAACACTGATGGAAGTTTAACGGTTCAAACACGGTGATAATTATGCAGAAGTTGTTGTTCTTAGTGCAAAACATGCCTTCAAATGATACTTAAAGCATGAATTTTCCAGCATTATTGCTCAAAACAAAGATTATGTGCACAAAGATGACTCATGAAGAAATTGTTTCACCATACAGTTTTGTACACTTGTACACTTCTTCATTTTGCTCCCCTCCCGTTAAACAGACTGCGGAGGATTATTTCCATGAAAAGATTAAAGTCAAAAAAAAAAAAAGTAGAAGCTGGTATATGACAAAAATTTATGCTTAGTGCTAAAAAAAAAAACTATTTTTAAATTAAATGTTCTACTATTTATGGTCTGCCAAAGTCTGCCAAAGCTCTACCCACCAGAATCACCAAACAGTCTATAAAGTAACTGTAAAAAGCTCAGTTTTTTAGACTTCCTTTACCACAGCGTAAAGAAAGATTGCTTAAATTAACAAATTAAATTAACAAAAGAAACTTGAATT